AAAAAAAAATCAATTTTTTTTTGCTAGCAATCGAATCGATGTGTCTAACGAATTAGTTTTATGACAACAAAAAGCACCCACTCAGTCTTCTCCAACTTTAACGTTGAGCAGAGCGAATACCCAGGAAAAGCGGCAGCGTATGGAGATATGCTTTGATAGGGAGACACATCTGAATCTGTAAATTATAGCTGTTATCTTTACATATAAAAAACCCCAGGCATGAGAACATATAAAAGCACATGTAAAAAGACAAAAAGCAAAAAGCAAAAAGCAAAATAAAAATTGCCTAAGAAGAGAAATAAGACAACACAAGGATTCACTAACCTCTACGGTCTGTAGTGCTTCCGTCACTCGTCGCCAATATACCACTATCAGGCGAATTCGCCGATTTTTGCGGATAAACAGGTTCTTCTTGTTTTGATGTTGTATTGCAAACACCAGTGACACTTATTACAAGCCCTGACAGCTGCTTGGCAATACCAGTGCTAATAGAGATGTCTTCAACTTCAGATTGCTGTATTTGATCTGAAAAGGCTTGCGTAAGTTATACAGAATGGAAGCATTATGTATATTCATATTAAAAGTGAATAGGACGCAATATAACTGACAGTATAGAGGACTCCTGGCTTCGTACACCAACTCGTCATCAATCATGGAAGATGCAGCTGGAACTCGTGGTTTTCTGTGATCCGGTTTAGGCCTAAAGTTTGCATTTGTAATTAGCTTTTTGAATTTCCGTATTACTAAGGAAGTGTAGGGCAGGAATATGAGCTTCCGCCTACAAAGTGATGGAACTCAACATTATTCGACCACGCGACTGACGACCCTTCTTAGTATTATGCGCCACCAAGCTTTACAATAGACTTGATCCTAAGCTGTGTCTATAAGGTATGGCTCTGCCGTTTTTGGGCTACTTAGGAACTACTATTCCGGATAAAAATCAAACTATACTAAACTCAGAATTATAAGAACAGTCGAATACATATTTCTTTTCATTTCATATAAAGCAAAGGTGCGGAATCATGGAGATTATGATTACGTTTATGTTTATAAACAATACTTTGCAAACAAAAACATAATTATGGGGATACTTACCTAGTAATTCGTCTATGTGCGCTTCGTCCTTGCATACGTTGCCGTTCAGTTCTCAAAAAACGGCCCCAAGGCAAGTTTCGTTGTGAATCATTACGAGGAGTAGAAGAAGCAACGGGTGGTGATGGGTAAGAAGAGCACGGTTGCGATGGCAGCGTAGTCAGGTCATGACCATTATGACGGTTGACGCAACATTCAAGGCATATAATACAATCCTAAAAAAGAGTTCTAGAATATTAAAAAGATGATTACCTTCCAAAGGAGCCTTCTACTTATATAGAGAAAAGTCATACCAAGGTCAATCCCGCCGACATGTGCTTGTTCATAGCGCGGCTGCAACTTAAACATCGTCGCATTGCCGTTGCTGGCCTTCGCGAATCGCATTCATCACATCGCAATGAGCGGTGTTCCAGACACTCTCGACGTTGACGTACTCTCTTCACTACTTCTGTAATATAGATGGCACCGACTTCTTTTCGTTCACACAATGAGAGCTTAAAACAGAGAAGAGAAATAGCTGTAGACAGAATTGATATGTTAGGAAATTTCCAGAGATTCGATTCCAATCAGTTTCAATCAAGAGCATTCATTGAAATACACTCCCACTCCACTATTGCCTGGATATGGTCCCCAATTTACGAAGTAATAATTCATCCTTGTATCATTGTGCGGAAAGACGTAGAGAACCAGTAATTTGAACTCTTACAAATTCTTCAAAATTGAATGAAAATACATGAATAGCACAGAAAAAAATCTGTGAACTGATATCAATAATGTACTTACCGGCAAGAGCGGTATTCAAGATAAATGAAGAATACTTCTTCCGACAAGAGGGGCACCTGAATTAGGCAGAAAATTGAAACACTGGAATCAGCTTTTTGCTACACATAAAAAGCGAAAGCAAAACAAGAGAAAAAAAATTCAAACCTTCGCTTCTTCCTCTGCTTTTCCTTGCTTAGACACATTAAACAGAATGTGTGAGCACAGGGAAGGGAATGAGGCGCACAGAATCGAAGATCATAGGAAGCTCCACATATACAGTTCGGGACTAGCCCTGCAAGGGCTTCGGTTGCTGACCACATAAATAACTGAAAAATCAATGTTTTGTCATGGACTGGACAGACAAAGTCAGATACTGCCCAATCAGTTTCAAGCATTTTTGCATGTATAGAGGTTTACGGAAACACCAGCAAAGACGATTTTCGATTGTTCGGAGAAAAGAAAGCAAAATTCAGTTCACTGAGTAACTAGTAATCACTTGTTCAAACCCACACCACCACGTGCTCTTTGTCTGAGAGTTGCACTTCGAGGACAAAGATTTTACTTAGGAGGGATCGTCAGTTCAAGACAGACAAGCTTCACATCCAGTAAAGAAGCGAGAGGGGAACTAGAGCGATAATCATTGGGAGATTCGTTACTAACACTAGGTCAAATGTTCCTTGCTGCTTACTGAAAACTTTAAGGTGATAAGGAGAAAACAAATGGTAAAATAAGCGCCGTGCCATTATAATTTTCTGTGCGAGCAAGGACAATCCACTAGATTGTACCGGCTCGCAGCAGGGACGAATGGAGACATTATTGGCGTCTGCTCTGGAAATCGATGTCCAATGGGACGATACAAGTGGTCACAGTATTAATATTATTGAGAAAAGAAAAAAGAATAATAGAGGGGAAAGAAAAATCACACTACGAAAATGCAGATGCAAGCTGAAGGTGTGTTGCTGAATGTACCTTAGTGACACATTATTGAAACCATTAAAGGAAAATTACTGATGGATAGGAATGATAAGAAGTAAATGCAAATAATAGAAAGGCGACGTGGTTAGACGAAGGATTGGGGCATAACTAGTAGTACAATGACGAAGAACCTTTAAGGAGGTGATGTTAATCAAGTAATTAGTTGGGAAATGCTTTAGGTAACAATAAAAGTCATTACGACAGTCAGTCAAAGGGCTAAAAAGACAAAGGAGCGCCGCCAGTCAAAAGGTTCCGCTTCCGCTGCATTCCCAGAGGCGTTACTTGGTAACACGTAAAGTTGTCGACACGAGTTGAAGACAAAGCGGCCCCATTGCTTGACTATCCTTATTTATAAATAAACACATAATAAAGAACAACACAGGCATAAGACAAATACGTGTATGGCAAGAACCAAATGACTGAAATAGCCTGATTCACAAAATAAATCCCGAGTATCATAAGGGAAAACAACTAAATAAATAAAATATTGACTGTTTAGATGTTTAGGATCCCACTTGAAATTCTGTTGGTACAAATCGAAGCATACAAAAAATAAAAAATAATTTGCGTGAAAGCGGTAGTTTATGAATGAATTTCAACAGGAAGTTTTTTAACATCATTTTTACTCAACGATATTACTATGTGTATAAATATTTTGAATAGAACTAGTAACTGCTTAGAATGATGTCCTATAATGGTGATATCAGCGAAAGTGATTCTTGACAAGAAACAATTAATCGTAAGTGATGGAAGCAAACGTTTTTCGATACTCGCAAATGATCTCTTTTAGATCAATCTACACAACTTACGCATAACATACGAGCTTTTTAAAGAATCTGTAGCTTGATTAACAATATGTTTCAGCATGTCTAGTGATCCTCGAGAACTCCATTTAAGATAGAAATCTAGTTTGTGCCTAGATTCTTACAGTAGGGTCAACCGTAAATTAAAACGTCATAGCCGCCAGATTGCCCTCGACAATCCACGTTGTTTGACTAAACGGTATTATTCCAGTCGTGAGAGACCAATAATTAGGACAGGCCAGATTGGTCGTTATCCTTTTCCAAAGACTACTCCGTTGAATATTTATTAATGCTTGCCATAGGGTAAGTCAAGCCAGCCTGACATGGATAAAACAGATATGGCCGCCGAGAAAATGAGTGGGAAACTGGCATGGAACTTGGGCATAATTTGCACAAAAGGTTCCAAAACACAGTCAAAAAGGATTTCATACCAGTACGCATCAAAGCTGCTTTTGGCGAAATCGGCTTGAGCATTTATTCCACTCGGAAGTATTTCGGCCAAGGGTGACTACTTTTGAAAGGTTATTGCTGGGAAAATGTAGACTGCTATGGTAAGCGTAAACTTCTTGGTAGATATTGTGGAAATCTATTGTTAGCAATATGCAGTTTGAAGCTAATAATACTAGCTGTTAGGCACTAGTAGCTAATAGCTGGCGGCAAAAATCGCTCAGAAAACTTTCTCGCAACAATTCAAAAGCATCCAATTCTGAATTACTGAGCCACTTCAGTGTACAAGTTTTTGACATAGGCCGCCGTGAGAGATATGTTGTCTGTAACTTCTCTCAGCCGGAACATATTATTCTACGCTAAAAAGAACGGTGGGAATTGGGGCTTACAAAGAACATATTTTTGTTCTGGCGTGCTTCTGAGCCATATTGATGAGAATGTTGCTCGGTTTAATTTCCCCTACCTTCGAGTCAGTTGAATTACACGATTTAATTGGTAATTAGCCTAATCTTGATACTTGCGAACTCAGTAATCATCTCGAAAGGGAAAAGATCGCCGCCAAATTTGCATATGTTATAAGCAGACGTGTGATTGGGTGTTAATTGGTTCTGTGACTGACAGCTGCGGCAACACTTCAAGGCTTGATCATCTTGGATTCAGTGACAAGAGCGGTCAGGACCTTACTAAAGAACAGAGTATGGACTCTCCTTGTTATATTACTCTACCTTGGAGTGCTATTCCAGGCAGGCTCAAGATCTGAGGTGATTTTGGGCACTGTTGAGGAACATTAAAACAGGTTACCTTACTCAGTGAACTACCTTCAGTTCACACAAAACATAATTTCGGATTGTAGGAAGCCCAGGAAGTCAGATTGATGGTTGCGAGTGGTTCATTTTCACTCTAATCTCTTCCTCCATCCCTTTTCGACTGTTCTTGTAGTAGTTTAAGCATAATAGCCACATAGGAAGATGCATCTGTTCCTTACTTGTACGTTACTTTGACTTTGTTCCATGCCATACACTCGGAACGTGAAATACACCATCAAGGGGCACCCACTCAGGGTGACTGTGGCCAAGACAGGAATCTAGACGAAGGCCCGGTTTGATGCATTGGTAGGCATTCCCTCAAAAGCGGCCACGTTTGAATCTTGGTCAACCTTGGCATAATGTGTACATAAGTGTGACAATGAATTCGATAAACTCTTTCGCGGTAATTAATCTCATTTATGGGATGTGTCCCACGTTCAACATCCATCCAGTGTTGCAGTGGCGTTTTGAAAGCGTACGTGGACTACAGAGGTTTTCAGTGACCGGTTGATGTACAATCGAAGCTTCCAACTCCCAGGCGGATCTGGTACCAGTTAACCGACTTAGGAGGGGTGGAATGCTTTGTTGGACAAGTATCGATCCCGGATTCAATCCTCGGGCCATGCGCACGAGATAGTACGCCGCCTGCCTTTACACCACCCCCACATATGAATTACCTACTGTATTCTTATCAGATAAGAAATTCGTAACGGGCTTGCACCAAATTGACCCGACTGACCAACGAAACCTGGTAGAGGCCCAGCCGTGTTCTGAACGCTGAACCTTCTCCGAAGCCATGTGATTCCTTCAATTGAAACATATTGTCCGGATTTGTCCTTTACCTCTTCATCCACTGACTAATTGATGAATATCATCGATCGTTGGAGAGTCAGTTAAACTCTGAAGCAATAGCAGAGCCAGTGCAGGAGCTTTTGCCAGCATAGCAGATCGCTAATCCCCCATGTTTCCATCTAGAGGGCTTAGTAGGTGTTGGTAAACAATCTTGGATTTTGGCTGCTTTGGGAGAAGCCTTCATTTATAGATAGACTTGTCACAGCCCAGAATTGAGCCATGCTAATGGGAACTGGGTGTACTTGCTGCGCCCTTTTACTTTTTACCATCTCCTTCTGTTCAACGTGAGAAGGAGATGGTAAAAAGTGATTTTGTAGTATTTTTACTTTTCTGTTTTATTACCGTCTTATGGTTAAATAGCACTTCCACCTTGTTCGTCAGTCTCTCGGTACAGTACACCTTCGGAAGGTACTCGACGATCTACTGAAAGGTTGAACTTGTGGAACATGAGGATAAGAGAGATGAGTCCGTAGGTCCTCGAAAAACATAAACCTGGTCCCTCTCTGTCAATGGGAATGCACTAAATCAAGACGGGCCCTAATAGCCCTTCACGGTGTTATCGTCCCACTCTGAACGAGCTCTTCTTATGAAGACGGCCTTGTTGGCTAAGTGAGTAGCACGATTTAATTACGTTGATCAGGCAGACGGTTGTCAAGCGACGCAAAGCGATTTACCGCATTGCCGCCGTCTCTATCGCCGGTGGAGATCTAATTGAAGCGCGATACTGAAAGGTAGTGAGTGGGCGATTTCGTGGTCCGATAAAACGATCATCACGGCAATTAATTAAATGCCTAGTCGTCAGTTACCTTCCGCCAACAACCCCGAAGACAAAGCGGATCGCCGACAAGATCGTCTCCATTCCACGTGATACGTATTCGAATATGAAGTGTCCTCCCAAACTAGAAACCCTAATGAACTAATCGAACCGGACACATGGAGTTCAAAGCGGAGGCAGTAGTGCTTAACTCGTTCTTTAGGGTAACGGCAAGAAGTGTTGCTATCGCAGGCGCAAGTCCCAGGGGTCAATTTTAACACCGGCTAATCAGGCTTCTTGCGCTTCCGGGATCAAATGACAAGTTCTTAGGTGGACCTGTAACCCATCTTCGAAACGCTTCCCAACTATTTCGAGTATGCCATAATTATAAGCTAAAGTTAAATGCAAGGCGTATGTTTGCCACTTACTACTTTTGCTAGATTACTAAGCATCTTCCCCATTAAAAACGGCCACCGTGGGTTTGAGCACCATTTTTGGTGCATGCTATCAGTAGACAAGTTCATCTATGAATTATACTTCTTACTCTGAGGATATTCGGGAGTGAAGTGGAAACAGAAAGGTGACGGTCGTGCACCAGGGATGCAGCTTGAAGAACCGTTCCATACGACCCTAATTGGAGTTCTTCCCTGGGCACATGCCTTTTTTAGAGTTTCATTCAAGCTAGTGTCCATGGAATTCCTAGATCCTATGTGCATACACGCCCTAGAGGCCTTCAAATCTGTAGCTTGTCCTTGATGAGCCAGTTTCACTCTGAACAATTTTTGTCCCCTCGATTGGTAGTACGTAATGCTTCCCTCCAGCAAATGTGTCTTGCATTATATCTCCGTGCCTCGAAATGGCTGTTTCGAACCTAGAAAAACTACTTCTCAGAAGTTTTAGGGTATTGGAGGTTAGTGGGTGTCATGAAACATCCCAGAATGACCCCATGCTGGCCTTGTTGGCTCTACTGATGAAGGCCAGGTCTACCATTCTTAAATTCCTGGCGTTGGTAGGTTCCCATTTTCAACCCTACTCCACTGCAGGGTACGGAGGGTTGTGCCTTACCGAATACGGTATCTAACAAATATATATTTTAATGAAAACTGATAGGTATTTCAGCACACCCCCAGCCCGGAGTGTTCATTCCCTCATGTCTACGAGCATAACTTCTCACGTTGTCGTCATTTGCTTATCTTCGTTCG